TGTGACACACAAATGGCTCCCAGCAATAGTGTGAGGATGAGCCAAGTACAGACACAGGTATGAAATGAAACGACTTGGTCTCTCTGTGTGCGGGCAGTGCATTGGGATCGCTGCAGTGATTGCGGTGTAGCTCGCTATGGGTGGGAAGAAGTCTCTGGGGATTGCAGCCACATGTGGAGACTCTAGACAGTTTGGAGGAATAAAATGCATAGAGTTCTGCTTCTCAAAGTTGGTTTGTCAAGTGCTATAAAGCTTAGGTGAATTAAAAAGGGGCTCCCTTGGGGATGCTTGCACAGAAGCGTAAGACCTCATTTACCTGGCAACTTCAATTGTCCAGAGCGCACAAATGAGCTAAGTGACTGTAAGAGCCTATGAGCAGTCTACAGTTGAAATAAATGCCATGCCTCAAGGTTCATTGTCTGTTACTTGGAACAACACACCTCCCAAAAACAACACAACTCACACTTGCTTTAGGATCAAGGCTAAGAAGTTTGGTTATTTGATTTCCTGGTGTAGTTCAGTTTCAAAAAAGGAGTCTATTTTTCAACCCTTGAATCAAGTCCAGCTTAGTGACTTGTTTTACCCAACACAAGGAAACAAAAGTGACAGAATGCTAGTTCTAAACCCCAAGAGTTTTGTGCACTTCCATTCTGTCTCTTGGAATCCCACTTTCCCCATGTGGAAAAGGTGAAACTAGCCCTTTGGAGGGTGAGAGAGCATGTCAAGGGACACTCCATTGTTCCAGCTGAGGCCATCCTAAGCCAGCAGAAGCCAAACATGTGAGAGGATGCAGCAAAGATCAGCAGAACTGCCTAGACAACCCGCAGCCGCACAGAGAAACATGGCTGAGACCAGTGGAGCCTGGTGGCACACAGACATGTGAGCAATAGTAAAAACCTATTTCTTAAGCCACTGAGCTCTGGGGTGTTTTGTTACTCAGCAACAGCTGATACACCTGGTCTGCTACAGATTGGAAAAGAGGCGGGGCTCGGTAGAGAAGGGGAAGGGTCAGTAGAGACAAGCAGGCAGACAATTAAAAGACAGAAACAAGAATTCAAAGAACATTATCATCTGGGGCCATTTAGGGAAGGGGAAGCGGTTTGTGGCACCTTCTAAGATCCCGACCACTGACGCTGTTAAAGCACAATAGAAGACACCTGACTCTGAGCCATCCAGAAAAAGTAACTGAAATGTAGTGTCCTTTTGTTAGGAAGGCAAGTGCATGAAGCATACTGAAGAAAGACTGCCATTAAAAATAGTTAAAATAAAAAGCTTAGGGTGTCAAGTGTCATTTATCTGAGGCATTCATGTGTGTGTGCAGGGACAATACGTTCTGCAACAGAAATTGGCTAACAGCTCAGAAGGGCTTGTGTGTCGCTTCCAGGGGCAGAAGGCAGCCCAGGAAATGCAGTTTGGTTGCCATGATGCTGGCATTCTGGGGACACTTAAGCATTCATGAAGACAAGGGACAGAATATTTGGAACTGGGACAGCCTGAGAAATTCTGTGCTGAAGCGCAAGTCTTTTCTCCCCCAAAGCCCCAGATTAGTGATGGCGTGTGAGGTGATGGGAGGAGACGGGCAGGGCAAGGTCAGCCTGAGGCAGCCTGCAGAGACCTCTGCGTGGGAGACTGAGAGGAGGCAGAGGGTGCGGGAAAGAACTGCGTTAGCAGCCTCCCTCCTTGGCCTGCCCTTTGTTTGCTCCTCTAAGTACCATATATCCAGTTCATTCCGTGCCATGCACTTGAATTCTGCTCTCTTCCGAAGCCCGATCAAGTGCTATGCTGGAAAATCATCATCGGCAGCATTCACATTCCTAGCGTGCATACTGGACCAAAGGACTGGACCATGCTTTTGCCACGCATGAGCTCATTAACTCTGTAACTTAAATGTGACTACTACCTCCCCTCTAAAGAGGTGAAACAGGCACTGAGAGAAGCAGCCACTGGCTTCATCAGTTAGAAAATAGGAAAGAACAGAAAATCAAACACCACATGTTCTCACTCACAGGCAGGTGTTGAACAATGAGAACACATGGACACAGGGAGGGGAGCATCACACACTGGGGTCTGTTGCGGAGGGCTAGGGGAGGGACGGGGTGGTGCAAGGTTGGGGAGGGATAACACGGGGAGAAATGCCAGATATAGGTGACAGGGGGATGGAGGCAGCAAACCACCTTGCCATGTAAGTACCTATGCAACAACCCTGCGTGATCTGCACATGTACCCAGATCCTAAAGCACACACACAAAAAATAGGAAATGGCAGGGGCAGGATTCAAACCTTGATGATCGATTCCGGACCCATTCCCTAAACTGTCTGTTCTGCCCCTTTAGTTTGTAAAGTTCCTTATTCCCTCCCTGCTGGTCTGGATGCACCCTTTAGTCTAACCCTGACTGCAGTCATCCCAGAGCCCAGGTTCGCTGCCCCCAGCCCTCCTGCCTCTCCTCACTGTTAGTCCTCACGGAACTCAGTGAAAAATGATGAAGACCTTTCCTGGGGGATGCGGTTCTGATGAACTGTCGCTTATCACCTGGAGCAGGCCCAGGGAAGCCAGATCAGGATGTGGATGTGTGTGCCCACCTGAGAGAGCTCAGTCTGCGCCTCTGGCAGCTTCTCACCAGCTGCCAGCACCTCCTCCCTGGCCCCATCCTCACAGACCCACTGACAGGCCCTGCTCCCCAGCTGCTTTATCTCTAGCTAACATGCATCTCCTCTCCCTCCTCCTCCCTGTCTGGGGGTTTCCTTGCAGCTCTAATGAAAAACCCTAGTGTCACATTGAAAAGTTGCCAGTTATTGCTGCTGGGAATAAAATTCAGCCTCTGCCGGGCAGAGGCTCATGAAAGCTTCTAGCTGGGCTCTGAGGAGTAGCCAGTTGGAATAATCCTTCAGTATGAGCAGCCTCTCAAGCGTAATTAGGCGGTACCAGGTGGGCCCCTCCCTGACAGCAAGGAAACAAACAAATAATAGGACAGGACAGGCTCCCCGCCCCCACCTTGACTTCGTCCATTCCTTGGCCTCTGCATACCTTCCCTGGAGTCTGCCTAACTCATCCGACTGGTTCAGGCTCTTTCCCTGCATCCCAAGATTACAACAAACTGGATGTTCTTACTGATGTGAGCTCTCAGGTCAGCCTGAGTAGCAGGCAACGGCTTCACCAGATTGTGAAAGACCAGGTCAATCTACCTGAAGATTATCCAAAATGTGGATTTCTTGGCTCTACCCTGGAACCACTGAATCTGAATCCCTCAGGCTGAGGTTTGGAAATTTCCATTTTTTAACCCCTTCCCTCACCTGGATAATGCTACTTAGAACCACGGGACCTGAGCAACTAGATCCAAAGAAAGATGCTCCTATATATATGCTCTTCTAAATTGCAAACCTTAAAGAGCCCTTCCAAGGCCAGACATTAGCATTGCTGGCACACTGACCCACAAAGTATACTAGGACTGTCATTTCTGTCCTGAGTTCACAGAGAAGGAAGCTGGTGCTTCCTCACAGGCTATGGATGACACCAAGAGGGTTGAGGACATGCTGCCGCTTCACTCACAGCCACTCTTCGGGGGCAAAGGAACCACAGTGACACCTAAAAAGCATTTTCAGAGCCTGGGACTCTGGCCAGAAGTCACACATAATGAGAGAGGCAGTGTGAGGTGTTTCTGCAGCCCACACAGCTAGCTGAAATGGTGACTTCAGGATGACTGGTACCTGAATGTAAGCTGAGTTCCGGCCATGGCAACTTTCTAGAACTTTTGCAGAGAGAAAGCAGGAATATCAGTGATTCTCAATGGGAGTGACTTTCACCCTACCCAGGGGACATTGGCAACGTCTGGAGACATTTTTCGTTGTCACAACTGTGGTGGTATGGGGACTACTGGCGTCTAATGGGGAGAGGTCAGGAATGCTGCTAAATATCCTATAATTCATAGGACATTAAGAATACGACAAGGAATCATCTGGCTCAGAATGTCACTGGTGTCACAATCGAGAAACCCTGGAAGAGATAAAGACATCAGCCCAAATCGAGGGACGTCCTTAGCCCTTGAAGTTAGGGTGTTCAATCAGACTCTTTGTTTGGGGTTGGAGTTGTTATAGCTTCCATTTGTTGTTATTTATCAGATGTGGATCAACACAGGCGCCAGCAGAGAAAGACTTACAGGCTTATAGGGGCCTCACACAGCTAGCCCCCTGTAAGAGCTGGGCCTAAAAGACTCACTTTATCTGACATCCAATAAATACCAAGATCCAACTTAAGCTCTTGATTCCTTCAGCAATTGGTCATTGCTTTAACGGTAGCATATGGACAAATAAATATTCAGTACTGAGCTGCCTGGTTAGATTTATTCCATATAAAGTCCCCATGGGGTCTCCTGTCTTCATGGAAGAGTTAAAAAAACAGACCATTTAGTTGATAAAATTGAGTCTCCCACGAATTAACGGAGTGGAACCAGCTACTGATGCAGACTGAAGCACACACGTTATGGTGGAGGATAGGCTGGAGGGGCCATATATTTTCTTTCCAGTTGATTCGATGCAGTTCAGTGGTTGATGGTATGTGGAGGCGGATCTCTTCCTGATGATTCAGTTCCCTCCTGTCTATCCGGCCAGCGCCTCAGAGGACACACATAATTTCTTTTCCCCTATAAAGTGAATCTGGGCATTTTATAGCTGAAAAGGGAGCAATTTCCATTTGAATTAATCAAGAGGCTGAAGGCAAAGGTGCATTATGTAGTTTTTAAGGACATTCTTCCTTGATTGACAAGGTCCTGTGGCCACTCCCTGTATGTAAAGCCTTAGTAACGGAATATTTCTTGACATCACTCAAGGGAGCTATGTTATCTTAGTTCTACTCACATGGAGCTGTGGGGTTTTTTTGTACCGCAGCCTAAGGAGTAAGTACAGTCTGACTCTTGGCATTGAACACATTTGTTAACCACAACCCTGTAACATTTCTTCCTTGTTAAATTAGAAGAAAGGAGTAATATTATTAAGAGAAAACATACCTTTCAGCCACTTTGGACATTTTCAAACAATGTCTGTCGATCTGTGCATTCAAAAATGTTATCTGAGAAAACAGAGAACACAGACGTTAAGACCGAACTAAAATTATTTTTTCCCTTTGCTCTCCAAACCCAAATCCTGCATTTCCACCAAGATCCAAATACCTCCTCTGGCCAGACATCTCCACTCCTTCAGCTCTGCCTTCCAGAAACTCACCTGTGGCTCTGGACATCCCTATCACACAAGATTCATATTCTACCATTTAGCCTGCATCTCAACTCCTCCTGTATTGTGGTGTGATTTAAGTCTTGCTTTCCAAAACTTAAAGGCAATACATAGTCTAAGAAGCTTAGCAACAGCATGGACAGGTGAAATGCGCACTATAGATACCTGTTTTGAACAATCCCCAGTGACCCTTCCTCTGCCACCTTTCACACGCATGTCACATCTGTGTTCTTGCCATGCTTGACTGGGATCATCAAATTTTCTTTTTTTTTTTTTTTTTTTTTTGAGATGGAGTCTTGTTATGTTGCCCAGGCTGGAGTGCAGTGGCGTGATCTCAGCTCACTGCAACTTCCACCTCCCAGGTTCAAACGATTCTCCTGTCTCAGCCTCCCGAGTGGCTGGAACTACAGGCACACGCCACCACGCCCGGCTAATTTTTTTGTATTTTTAGTAGAGATGGTGTTTCACCATACTGGTCAGCCTCGTCTCAAACTCCTGACCTCAGGTGAGCCACACCTGCCTCTACCTCCCAAAGTGCTGGGTTACAGGTGTGAGCCACTGCGCCCAGCCAGATAGCTTTTTTTCATACTTAGGTTCCCTCTTACCAACCAGATAATGAACCTGTCAAGGGCAAGTACCTAAAAATTTACTCCTTTGGGTTTTGCTCTCTAGGACCCAACAAGGCATAATATAAATAGTAGGCCCTAACGTTGCTTAATTATTAGTAAATATCAGAAGGAAGTAATATAATTAGTCATTGTCTATTGACATGGGCTCCTCATCATGAAAAAAAAATAACATTCAGCCAAGTAATACTGAAATGGCATTGGGAGTAGGGCTTTATTTATTCTTAAAATTTCCTTTCAAATCACAGCAATAAAGTCAACCATCCTGAGCTGGTTTAGTCTGGAAGTGCATTCCAGTTTTAAGGACTATGTGACATGAGCCCCTCCTTTCTCCAGCTCCCGCAGTGGACTGTGGGAAACCCCGCTAGCGCGGTTACCCCCAGGCCCGGGAGGACTCATTTACGCCCTTTTCTAATAACTGCTGGAGGAACTGGGTAAAGAATTCTTTCTCTCCAGCTTCCGTGGCTCGTTCTCACACAGCACTCAAAGGTTCAAGTCACCCACAGCTGGGTTCCACTGTGGTTTTCAGGAACTCAAAGCTTGCTCAATCTTCAGAAGTGAACATTTGAAAAGGTTTTTAAACTAGCCACGTCTCCTACTGGGAGTGCAAGCTGACAATTCATTCACCTGTTTCCGGATATCCTCTTTTGTAGTTTTCCTGATTGGTTGGCTGAGTACGTGCACGGGGCTCTGTGACTGGGACTCTTCGGTCACGCCATACACGGACTAGGAGAAGAAGCAAGAATGTAGGATCATCTACCCGCGGAGTCAGAGGGTGGCTTGGGGTCAGCTAGTTCAAAGACTCTTCCAATTTCTTGAATCCAATCATGACAATAAGAGATTGGTCTCTGCTTTTATTTCTTCAATGAGGAGAACGCTGTCTTTTAAGGCATCTCATCTTTGGGGTACCACTGTAACCCAAATCCTGCCTTTTATTGTGCTGAGAATAGCCTCCTTGTATCTCAGTGTTTCTTTGAATATGGTCCATAGACCATCTGCAAAGAATCTCCTGGGTGTGCTTGGAAAAGACACATTGCTGAGTGTCCCCTCTCCCCCTGGACTTACTGCATCGGAATCTTTGTGGGTGGTCTGGGAATCTGCACTTTTATCAAATGCCTCAAATGATTCTGAGGTGAAAGGAGGTTGAAGAGCCACTGTGGAAGCGTATGCACGAAAGATCCCCTTGACATTTCTGCCAGTCAGCAGATGACCATCTGGTACGAAACTGGGATAGCGGGGTTTCAGGTTTTCCCTTTCAAGTTAAACAGTTTTCTGGCCTCAGTTTCTCCACAGGTCTGTAGCTACAGCTATGTTTAAAGCTGTTCCTGGAATTATGGACAGACTAAACACAATCTTTGCACTGGGAAAGAAACAAAACCCAGAAGGGCATGCAATGTGTAGCCCAAATCTTGAAAATCAAGAGGGCTCACATGAAGTGGATGTGACTCCACAAAATTCTGCAATACTAGAATTAGGGGGGTCTTGAAGATGAAATGAGGATATTTTAGGGCTAATATTTTAAAGTATAATACAGTGTACTGTATTGTTATCTCAGTGAAGAACAAAATACGCAAGGAGACTGAAGAAGTTTATAAGTATACGCACGCCATGTCTTTTGTGTGTGTGTGTGTGTGTGTGTGTGTGTGTGTGTGTGTGTGTGTGTGTGT